AGACTGCATAATGTTATAACTTGGAACACCCAAAGTAAAATTGCAATTACAAATATATAGTCAAAACAGCCACAAAAAATCAGGCAATCACAGACTCCAGAAGACTTAAAATTCAACTGAAAAAGTTGTTTGAATTTGTGCTATGATGCACTAACAAAGGAAACATTGCTGTATCTTTTTTGTTTTGTTTTTTTGAGAAAAGATTTCTCTGTCACTTTGTTGTTGCTGTATCTTACATAATACATCAGTACACAATTTTAAATATAAAATGTAACTAATTCACTTATGCAGTCAGTAAAGATTTAGAAACAAAGAGTCATGCAATATATTTCAATAACGTAACAAATTGCAATATTTGGACTATTAGCATGATGTTGGGATGGCTGAAACAAACAAGTGTGGAAGGAAAGAAAGAAAGCATAGTTGATCAGGATGTTGAAAAGCACTAAAGGTTCTTCAGCAGGAAAAAGAGAGGAACCGACACTGGAATATGGGATTCCAGACTAGAGAAATGTTATATTAGTTCCTTGTTTCTTTACTGGTGCCCTGATAGAATATCCTGAGAAAGAGCAACGAAGAAGAGAAATTGATTTATTTTGTCTTGTAGTTTCAAAAGGTATTACAAAGTATTACAGTAGATCATAAGTTCAGCTCCATGTATTTCATTGCTAAATAGGAAGAAGAGAAGGAGAGAGGCAGAAGGAAATTCAGAGTCAGATATAGAGGGAGTAGGGAAGACAGTGGGAAAGAAGGAGAGCTGAGGGGGAGAGGAATAAAGAGATAGAGACACAGAATAGCAACTGGGATCCCAGTTCTTAGAAAACACCAAAGCCCACTCCAGTTGTTGTCAGGAGGCTGGTTTTTATTTATTTTTTTTTTTTCATTTCCCAGCTGCTCAGCAGCTCAGACATGAAATAATCACACAAGAATATATTAATTGAATCACTGCTTGGCCCATTAGCTCTAGATTCTTATTGGCTAACCCTTACATCTTAATTTAACCCATCTCCATTATTTTATATTTTTCTATGAGACCCGTGGCCTACTGGCAAGGTTCCTGTGGGGCTCCATGACTTCTCTCTAACTCCACCCTCTTTCTCCCAGTATTCAGTTTAGTTTTCTCCACCTACCTACGTTCTTCCCTATCAATAGGCCAAGGCAGTTTCTTTATTCACCGGTGATAATCACAGCATACAGAGGGGAATCCCACACCACTCATTGACTTGCTTCCTCCAGAAAAGTTGTATTCCAAAGATATATAATGTTCGCAAACAACATTAACAACTGGGGACCAAGTGGCAACGTAGATGACCTATGAAGTACATTTTTCATTTGTTATATCCGTGTCACGGGACCCCCATACAAGATCACCACGGAGCTGTATCCCATGCAAACACACTGGGGTTTATTGATGACAAGTTAGCTAACTTGGGCCATAATTCAGCACACCAATGCAGCAGATTTTGGAGAATGAAACCCAGGCTTCAGGGTAAAGGATTTTAAAGGGAAAACCGCAAGCAGAGTGGCACAAGTTTTGGCTTGATGGGATTCGGTAAAAGTATACAACTTTTGAATTTGTTGGTTTGGGTATAGGGAAATTCAAGACAGTCAAAACAGCTGTTAATGGATATTTCAACCAAGCAGATGTTTGGACACCCTAGTGGGTCACTTTGATCAGGTAAGGACAGTTTCTTGGGAATATTTATGACTTCGCTGGACTGTATTCACCCCACTAGTTATATCCTTTCTAAAATAGAGATCTTTCTCACAATGGAGTTTGTTTTGCTCCTTCACATTCAAACTATAGTCAGCAATAAGCAATATAAAAGATAAATCCATTGTTTGTAAGTTATAAAAATGGGGTACAAATGTATCCATAATTTGTCTCTTAGGAAAGTTCAAGAAATTATGCCTTGTCCCTGGACCTAATTGCACAATTCCAATGTGGTTTCTCAGAGTCCTAGAATTATTTACCTATTAGACTGGACTTTAGAATGGTTAACATGTAATAAATTTCCTTCCTTGGAAATGAATAAGCATCATCTAAATGGGGGTAGATGTAACATGATTAATAAAAACCCAGAGATAGAATTTGGGATTGAATCTGAATGTCAGGAAAGCAAAGAAGCCAGTCATTGGCTCTTACCTCTACCTCATTTTGAATTGGCCATCCTTCCTCCCAGATGTGAAAATGAGATGGTGTGTGAGAGTTGTTGCCTCCGCATTACAGTGTTATATTTCTCTTTAGTCTAGGATTAAAGGCATGCCCAGATTCTATGGCAAAATAGCGTGGCTACTGAGATTAAAGGTGTGTGTCACCACTGTCTGGTCTATAAGGCTGATCAATGAGGCTGTTTTACTCTCTGAACTTCAGTCAAGCTTACTTATTAAAATAAAAATGAAATATCACTCCAGGTATTAAGCAAGGTCTAGACAATCATGTATAAGGCCTTACAAATTTGTACATGAAAAAAATTGTCAAAGATAAAGACTGACTGCAATTGGAACACACCTTTCATTCTAACATTTGGGAGACAGAGTCAGGAATATCTCTGTGAGTTCAAAGTCAACCTCTTCTACAAAATGAGTTCCAGAATAACCAGGATTCTTACATAAGGAAACCCTGTTTGGAAAACTGAATAAAAACCACCACCACCACAATAACAACACCAATAAAAAAGTCCTAAATCAAAGCAAAACTAAAACAAACAAACAAAAAGAAAAACAATACAAAAAGATTGACTACAAACCTTTCATGACTTCCAAAGTGCTCACTGCATGTAGGTGGAGAGACACCCTGAAGTGTCTGTAGGTGACCTACAGATCATTATGAATAAAATTGTATACACCTGGGTGGAAATTCAATATGCTAAGTAGGCATACAACACGTGAAACACTATCTAGAACAACATGCACAGAGCATTTGTTTATAACCTGAATTATGCAAATACTATTTTTTAAAAATCCCCAAGTTAGGCAAATATCCAGAAAGCTCACCTTATATGGCATAAAACCTAAATTCTTTGTACAAGGGAATTTGAGATACTGAGTTATCGCTTTGTTCCAACCCTTTTCCTGCTTTAGACCTTTCCTTCTTTAATAGTAAGTTTAGATCATGAGTTTTACAGTAGCAAGTCTCTTCTCGAAATTTGAGGGATTTCCACTCACCCAGTTGAGAAACTAAGTCTAATAAAATCAGGTCAAATGACTATGTGTGATTTGCCTCTTGCTGTATCATTGACATGCCAAACTTATAGTACTGGCAGTGTAAGAATTACACGGAATTCTTATACAGGCAAAGATGAGATTATTCAAGCCTACTTGAACCAACCCCTCACCACCATGCCTAACACTGGACTGAGTAGATGCTCTTATCCTCCTGTGTGTTAGGGTATTAAATCTTGAGAGAGGAGTAGACAGGGATCAGTATGCTTCAAGGCGATTGGCAATGAATCTCTCCCTAATCATCAGCATTTGACCCTACCTCCTGTATTCCTAGCAGCACTAGAAAGTGAAACAACACATCAACACCTCTTTAGGATTGAAAATCACATATGAAAAGATGGAGACATTAAGGCTTTGTTGAGGCTCATTAAAAGAAAGGGACTTCCTGCTGGCCAGAAGGATTGAATCCCAGTTCTACCCTCTGTCCCTGAGTGGGGAGTTGACATTCTGATCTGCTGCAAATATTAGATCATTACATATGATTACGTCCTCCTTGAAGAAAGACTCCAGCTGGGCCTGGCAATCACTTAGCCAGGAGACCACCCCATAGAAAAGTTGATTCACCTAAAGACATGATAATGAAATTATCTTCTTAATAAATTAATGTATGTATTCCTCCTAGAAGCCACTCTGTCTCCTCACTTTATATGCAGCCATCACAGCCCTTCATTGGCAGTCCTCTCAGCTTTACAGAGCTCTAACTCAAAAACTGCCTGACTTTTACTTGTCTATATCTTTATCTCTTTTTCTCTTTAACTTTTCCCCACTTCCTATTCTCTGTCTCTGTCTCCAAAAGCCTAAATGTACTTTCTCTGACACTCTGGGCTTTATCATTGTGTTTTTGAAGATTATCCCCACAGCTATGTGCCAGTCTCTATCCCCAACCTATAAGGCACGGCTTTCACCTCTGTCTTTTCCCACCAGGCAGCTATGGAGATTTACAGCTTACCTGCCTTCTTGTTTTTCTTTCAAATGCAAATAAAATTGTCATCAAGTTTCTTTTTGAGTCCATTTCTAAATTCTAAAATTATCAAGGATAAGAATCCACAAAATGAAATATTTTCTTCCCTGGTAAGAATACAGGTTTTGCTAATCTACATTTTCACCAACAGTATATATGCATATTTCCATTTCTCTGTAGCCTTACCAGCATTTATTATATTAAAGGAGATATAGTATTGATATAACGGATTACAATCCACCCATAAAAACGTGTATATTTTGTTTTGCAAAGCAATTTTCTATTTTCCTGTGAGAGAAAACATTAAAGTTGGAAGAAAACTCCTTAAGACACTGGGTATTCTAAAGAGAGGTGGAATATTTTATCCTGCAAAGAATCTTGCTCAGTTTAGTGCGTGAACAACTGAAAATAATCAGGAAGTCTCTGAAACTGATCAGATTTCCTGGGAATCTCCATTTCAATGCTTATAGGAGTAGTACAGACTTCTGAGAGACACTGCTGGACAAACCTAGCTAAACAGAAGATGTAGAAACCAATCGTGCTGCTTGAAATGCAGAGCAGTTTAGCTACCCAGAACACAGAAACAATTACAGGTGCCAGGAAGATGGTCAGAGGAACAGCAATGCCTAAAAGTGACACTCTTGCTTGTTGAGCTGAGTGGAAGTGGGACACTTTGTCAAAGTTCCCAGTTTTCATGATACATCCCCAATATCATAGTGGTCTTGTAGTGATATAACTGTCATTATGTTATTTCTACTTCTGTAAGTAACCATCTACAATATTCCTGTATGTAACCCCAATAAAAGATCTTTACCAAGTTGGATTTGGTGATATCCTTGATTTGCTCTGTCTTAGTTGTTTATCTGAGGTGAGTAGATGTTTGTTGAAATCTCCTCAGGAATAGTGTCACGTATTACGTCATCCCTGTAAAATGAATGGCAGTCGTCTATATTACATGCAGTAAAATAAGCCAGACAAATGTAGACCAAAGGCACATTGTCTCACTCATTTACAGTAATTAGGAAGTAAGGCCTATAAAGTACAGAATGGGATTGTGAATGTCAGAAACAAGGACTAGAAATGGAGCAAACAGAATGAATACAATTAAAAGTGGCCTTTAGGGACACAAAAGAGTGCTGGGAGCATTAGGGTTAGAGATCTAAGGTAGTGGGCTGGACAGATGATGAAGGCATGGTAAAATATACATAGAATATAAGTAAACCCCATTAATTTACGAAATTATTGCAAGTTAAAATGCGAAATAAATTAAGACAGTAAATTCTTAAGAAAATATGTGGCTTGCACTGTCTACTCTAATCATAATAATCCTGTCTATTGTGATAATCTTTCTCAATAAGCTTACATGAAACAGATTCTGAAATTGTGCCAAGTATAATGGCAGGCTGAAACCACTAGACAGATCTTCCATATCATTCTTTTTTTTTAATTAATTAATTTATTTATTAAACATTTCTGCCTCCTCCCCACCACTGCCTCCCATTTCCCTCCCC